CACTTCACGAAAATTCTTATTCTGCCATTGGTTGAGCATAACCTAAATAACATATTCTTATTACCGCAGAAATATTTTGACTTATTTAAGACTACAAATTCTAAATTTATATTTCCTTTTCCTTAAACATTGTATATAATTATAAAATCGTCGTATAACAGTCTAGTGTTGTGGTGGTAAAATGATTAAAAGAAAATAGTTAACTACCCGTATTATCCACTAAAAACGGATTGGATAATGAACTTTTTAAAAATGGATCAAATATGGATAAAAATCACATTATCCATTTTGAAAATGGATAACCAATAAGTAACAAATGGATAACTACTGAGTTTAACTTTTTCCTTTGTAAAACCTCAAAATAGGGGTTCCTCAAGTTTGGGAGACTAGAAATTTGGGATCATATTCAAGAAGTCATGGATAACATGATTATCCGCCAGTGAACCCATTTTTTATCCGTATTAAATATGATTCGAGTCGTATAATTCATCCGTTTTCTCATTACATAATTTCGATCCGAACCATATCCGTGCCCATCCGCCCGTTTACCGCTCCTAGTCCAGTGTTTGCTTAATTTAATAATAATTGGGTTTTGTAGGGAGGAGGAGGTGATAGTGCACAAGCAAATGGAGGAGGGAGGGGCAGTAACCGAACGACGTCGTTAGCTAACAATGACAGCATGACGATGACGGAACACCAGGTGGCAAAGCTAATGGAGGAGGATATGGGATCAGCCATGCAATACTTACAAGGAAAAGGCTTGTGTCTTATGCCAATTTCTTTAGCCACAGCTATTTCCACTGCCACGTGTCACTCCATGAAACCCAACAACCCACTACTACACGGCGGCGGAAGCGGAGGCTCTGCCGCCATCAACGGCGGTGGTGGGGGGCCATCCTCTCCTAGCTTGTCGGCTTCCACAGTCCAGTCAGCCACAATGGGTAATGGGGGGGCTTGAGTTTGTTGGAAAGCATTTGATATTTTACTAATTGCTTGATTGCTTTTGATCTTGAATTGATTACAATGTGCGTTTTTGGCATATTTATATATATAAAATATGTTATATTTAGGTGCACTCAAATATGGAATAATAATACAAATTTTAACATACCATTAAAGCAATTAAATTGTTTAAAAATTAATAGTAATTGATTTATTTTGTGAAGCTTCACAAATAGATCAAAAGTGCACACTCACTTAATTGAAAGTTAAAGTGGTTAATCAGATATTACAAAGACTAAAATAGGACCCAAATTTCTCAAAAAGAAAGAAGAACTAATACGCCGTATTAAGTAGACTTGGCTTAAGTAACAGCTTGTTTGGATGGTTGTTACATATCGTTTCATAATGTATCGTATCGTATTATATTGTATTGTACTGTATCGTTTGATGAATACAATATTTGGATGGATTGTGTTGTTTTGCCGTCGTTTCATGGTATCATGCACCAGTAATATGATGAATAAACTTGCAATATTATAAAGAAAAATTATGAGATGGTATATAAAAAGATAGGGTAAATAGTAAAATAAAATTATTTAATAATAATAAAGGGTGAGATTGGGAGAAAAACACAAGAAAACGACGCGACCACACCAAATCGGTCGTTACATAAAGTGACACATTTCATCGTTACGTAACAACGGATTTAACGATACGATACAATAAAATTTAAGTAACAATCAAAACAAACATTGTATTTAAAGTAACAATACGATACGATACAACTAGTAACAACCATCCAAACAAGTTGTAAGCTAAAGCTAACAATAGAAGTTGCAATAGAAATTAATGACTCACTATCTCCTTTGATATTCCTTCTTAATTTGAACTTCTTTTTTGTCTGATCAATTACTTATTATGCTTTCTTTTTCTTTTTTGGGAAGCCTACTCGGTGATAATGAGGAATTATTAATATCTAATGATAGGTTGTAATTAGGGGTGTACATGGATCAGGTTGGTTCGGTTTTTATCAAAATCAAATCAAACCAACTATATCGGTTTGGATTGGTTGGGTGTTGTCGGGTTTTTCGGGTTTTCGGGTTTTTTTGTAACATGAATATTATTTCAATCTTACTTTGTTAAAATTATAGATAAAACTTTGATAAGTGAATATATGTTTAGTAAATATGGAAAAAAAATTGACAAACATATGATCTATTAAAATATTCTAAAGGGAGAATTTTTTTAGTAACACATAATAGTTATTTTCTTAGTCGTCTAACAATAATTTTTCGTTAATTTACGCTTTCAAGGTTAATACATGAGAGGATCCCAAATATTTTTACATTTTCTAAAGAAAATTCACTATAAAGTCTTAAAAATATAAATAAAATTTATATATTTATATGTCGGTTTGGTTCGAGTATTTTTACTCAACACCAAACCTAGTCGGGGTTTTTAATCGGTTTGGTTTGATTTTTCGGTTTGGTGCGGTTTTCCGGTTCGATTTGAACACCCCTAGTTGTAATGATGTTATTATGAGAGAATGTGATTATGAATTATTAGGTGNGGGGGGAGAATCTTCTATTTGTCGTCCAATGGATAAGGATTGACAGCATAGGGCCTTGCTTTATCGTTCATTTTACCCGAAAGATTAGTTAAAATAGCACGGTATAGCCAGTTTTCGGACTGGTCATTCAAAAATAGTCACCATTTACGAAGTCAATGAAAAATAGCCACTATTTTGCTGCAACAGAGACCGGTCCCGGATAATATATGAAAGTTCGGTGCATCATCTGTGTACGAACTCCAACATATTATGCTGGACCGGTATACTTTGCTGACTCCTGTATAATATACGGGAGACTGGAGCACCGGTGCTCCAAACTCTAGTATATTATACTGGACAATTATACTTACTGGAACTCCAGTATATTATGCTGGAGTTCTAGTGTACTTATGCTGGAGTTCCAGCATACTTATCCTGGAACTCCAGTATAATATGCTGGAGTTCAAGCATACTTATGCTGGAACTCCAGTATAATATACTGGCGTATTTTTCGGGTTTTGAACAGTATTTTCGCTCAAATTTATCTTTACATGAAAAATGGCTAAATTTCGATTACTTTTGAAACTGGGCTATTTTGAACGATCAATTGTAAATCTGGCTATTTTTGAATTTCTCATTTTACCCGAAAGATTAATCTCCGATTTCCTTTGTTAAAACTTAAAAACGAAAAAGGATCAATTTCATTTAATAGACATAAATTAAATAACAACTTTAAAGAGTAGTTGAATGGTGCCAAAATTACTAATTACCTTAGGTTAGAGACGGCTTAGCTTTGATACTATAATATAGCAAAGACAATAATAAAAAAAACAGCTGTTTCGTATTTCTAAAAGGTGCCAAACATCAAGGTTCTTTACAATGTTTCTTTTAAAGTTTTACTTTAGTTTTTGTGTAATTATTCGTGATAGAACCACCAAATGTTGTAGTAGAGTTGTATATACTACTGTATTCTTAGCAAGATGAGACTAATTCGAGTCCTGAGTATGAAAACGTTTTTAATAGATAACACTTAACGTCCTTTAAATGGAATTTCTCGACGCGGATCCGTGCTAGTCGGTCCTCAAAATGAATATCGAACACCGTGTTGGAAAAAAAATTGTGCACGATAGCATCATCAAGTATTTGTCTAAATCAGCTAGGGTGACTCATTTGGACCATTACTAAAGGGCAACCCGGTGCACTAAGCTCCCGTTATAAGCGGAGTCCGGAGAAGGGCCGGACCACAAGGGTCTATTATACACAACTTTACCCTACATTTCTGCAAGAGGTTGTTTCCACGGCTCGAACCTGTGAGACCTCCTAGTCACTTTGGCAACAACTTTACCAATTACGCCAAGGCTCCCTTCGTCTGGACCATTACTATCTCAAAAAACTATAACAACTGCAGTGAACACAGAATGGTGAGATTATATGAAATGAACTGCCTAGACATAACAGTTACAGGTGCAAGACACACAAAGAAAGAAGAGCTTCCCAGGCAAAGTGCAAACAAGAAGAATTTCTAGAGAAGAAAGAAGTGCAAGGACAAGGAAAAGGAGTCCTAGAGGTCAAAGAAATCAAATTTAATCAAGTAAAATTAAAGCACCGGGCAGCTATGTTACTCGGACTCTCCAAAAATGTTTCCGGATGCGTATCGGATCGTCCAAAAATAGAAATAATGTCTTTTTGGAGGATTCGACACGGGCGCGACATCATTTTGAAGAGTCCGCAACATAGCAGTAGGCCGACAGTCAAAAGATTTTCTGTGTTTGGAGTAGTTTTGGAGCCTAAATTCTTTGTGATTTTCTGTGTTAAATCTTGTCCACTGCTACAAGTGGTTTTGGAGCCTAAATTCTCTCTGTCAAAAGATTTGCTAGCAACATAATAATTTTTTTGTGTTTCTTCTCTACGTCTAAACGACCTTCAGAAAATTTCTGGAAAAGAATTGAATTATCTCTTCTAGGGCTGCGCATGGATTAGATCGGATCGAATTTAGCACATTTCGGATTCGAATTTCGGATTCTACAAAATGCAATCCGAATCCGATCCGAGAAAAAGAGGCAATATAGCATGAAAAATTCATGTTTCTGCAACTATGGTGTCAATATAGCTAAATCCAGCAATTGTAAAGGTAATAACTTGGAGGAAGATGTAAAGGAAGTACTGACTATCCGAAATTAAAGTTAAGTATTTATACATGCCACAATAATTTCGAATTTCGGATCGTATCGGGTTAAAAATATATCAATCCGAATCCGATCCGAATATCAAAAATATTAATAAAAATAATCCGGAATCCGATCCAAATATCCGAAATCCGAAATTGAACGGATCGGTTTGGATTTCGGATATCCGATCCAAATGAACAGCCCTAATCTCTTCTACATCAATCTCAGAATAGCAAAATGGTTTTACTTGGTATAAATCAATCAACTACATCATAGAGGCATTTTTACAGCCTATAAACATGTTCAACTCTGACGTATTAAATGCCACAGACTTGAGGATATAAGATATGTGCATAGAAAAGCGAAAGATTAAAGATACTAACCCAAATAAGTACCATTTTGTCTACATTATTGGACATAAGAGTAGCAGAAAATTACTTCATCTCAAGAAACTGTATAACTATCAAAGTGAAACTAATGTTCCAAATGTAAAACAATGACTCCAAGTTACATTTATTTTCACTCTGCAGGTAAAATCCAATCCCAGGATCTTCTACAATCGAGTTGCACGAGCTACCAATACCTAAAGAAGCAGGCCACTCGATTGGTTGATCCCTAGGAACTGAGAATGTTTATACTTCTGTTCTTATATGGAAGTTCTCAACATTCAAAGCAAGAATCAACCAACAAGTTTACGATGATAATGAGTTATGTACTAGCCTCTTCCTCAGTGGCCAAGCTTTAAACCCCTGCAAAGAATAGTTCAACCCACGCCAATGAGGCCAAATTGCTCCGAACAACTTACAAACTTTCTTTACACCCTCCTCAAAAGAATTGAGAGACATAGAAACTAATAAGCAACTAACTCTCACTAATCAAGACTTGATATCAATTCAATCACATGAAAATTTAACAAGAAAACTAGAAACACCAATGAAGATAGCAGCCATGCAAAAGTAACTATATCTCATAACTGCAAAAACACAATTCATTTTCTTTAGCACCCAAGGGTCTGGCCTAGTGGTCAATGAAGTGGGTTGAGAACCATGAATTCTCAGGTTCAAATTCCAGCAGAGACAACACTAATTAATTTCTTCTCATTTATCCAAGCCTCGGTGGATAGAGTTACATATTGTTGGTGGGAGGTGCCAGGAATCCCGTGAAACTAGTCAAGGTACGCGCAAGCTGGCCCGAACACCATGTTATAGAAAAAACAACTCATTTTCTTCATACTATTTTTCTTGTTTTGGTATGGTGAACCCCATAATCGCAATCCCTCTTCCCCAACCCAACCCCCAAACAAAAACTTCGCAGGAGTCTAGCAGCTCCTTTTCTTTTATACTATTTATCTTGTTATGATATAGAGAAACTTTGCATCAGGCAATGCCTCCCTTGAACCCATTTACTAACTTATGTACGTGTTACAAGTAAGTGAGAGTTGCTCATTCACTATAAAAATGCGAACTTTACCAATTTGATCCAAGTATTTACAAAATTGAACAGCCTATATGTTTGACATAGCAATATGCAAATGCAGCCACCAAAACATGAATAAAGGGGTAAAGCATAAAGTTCAGGAAGTAACAACGGACCTCTTCTTGAATCATTATCATCCAAAAGTCTCTGAACTCTCTTCTTAGCACAGTATTGCCTATCAAAATGCTTTACCTATACATACCAAAAAAGACACAAATAAACACCAATGCACCAAGAAAAAAACTACTCCCTCCGTCCCAGTTTCTGTGAGAGTGTTTGCCTGGACACAGAGTTTAATAATAAAAGAACTACTCATGAAACTTGTGGTCCAAAACAAGTCATAGCCAATTCTGTAACTATAAATCATCTCATTAAAAGTAAAATTAAAAGTTTAAAGTTAAATTACTAGTAAATATAGAAAGGTGTGAAGGGGTGCCTTGGCACAACAATTAAAGTTGTCGTCGTGTGACTAGAAAGTCACAAGTTCAAGCCGGATACAACCTCTTGCAAAAGTGCAAGGTAAGTTCGGTATGTAAGGCCCAATGTGGTCCACCTATTTCCCTAACCACGCACATAGCGGGAGCTCAATGCACCAGACTTTTAAGGTATTTTCCCTTATGGTATCTCGTCCACATTCTGACGATTGGCCGAGCGAATAAGTCAACTTCAAAGTGGATTTGTTGTGCGAAGAGTGCGTTATAACCCGAGGCCGCCTACCTGGTGGAGGCGGCTCATCCGTTGTGGGTAAACGGTGCGACCCTTCCCCGACCCTGCATGAACGGGGATGCTTTGTCCACTAGGCTGCCCTTTGGACAGACTAAAAAGTAAAGAGTGTCATATAAATTGGCATACGAGACTAATATCCCATAATCAATTAGAAAAAAAATTAGAAAAAATTAACCCATTTTCATAAAGTTAGAACTTACCCAAGTGGGTCGACATTGTCTCACATATTCCTCTCTTGTTTTCTTGCATTCAACTGGATATAAAAGCCCAACTGTAGCAATTTCTGTAGGCTTTTTACTCGATTCTTTCTCCAGACATGAATAAAATGCATCTCTTGCCTTTATATTACCAATTCAATAGCTTATATTAGCCTAACCAAGATTGATCAATATGTACATGAAAAAATTAAAAGAAAAAAAATACATATAAATCTTTTGGACCTTAAAAAAATTGTACCTTGTAACAAGATATTCGAGCTTGTGAGAGAACATCTGGATGGATTTTATCAGTGTTTTGTGATGCGTAAGCTTCTAGCGCCATTGACACTAAAGAGGGAGCTAAACGAAAAAGCAAGACATTGAAGAAATGAGAAAATCTACATCTACACCCGTGTGAGTTTTGAATGTGTAATGGCCCAACTTAGTTGGGCCGGGCCTGTACAATGTTTTTTTTTTTTTTGGTAATTAAAATTTTTATATACTAGGGAAAATATTTACAATCAATACAGAACCCTTACAGATATTCCTATACTTTTCCTCCCTCTCTCGTATTGCTATCCGTCTGTTACTCTATCTATTACGTTGGATAGTAATCCAATCTATTTAGAGCTTTTTCTATTTTACTGTTACTTCTACAATGCACTTCTTGTACAATTAGCTTGCTAATTATTTCCCAGTTCCTCGCTTTGGCTTGAAATAGTCTTGCGTTCCTTTCCTTCCATACAAAGTATACACACCCTGCTAATACAATCTTGATCAGCTCTGTTTTTGCATTCCTACTTTTTGTCTAGTTTTCTGCCCATTTCAGCTCCTCAGACCAGCCATATATGTTCCTGCTAATACCTTGTCAGTTGAGCATCCTCTTCCATAGTTCAGCTGCATATTGGCACTCAAAGAATAGATGTTGTATAGATTCATTTGTCTGTGCGCACAGAGGACATGTTTGATCATTGTGAATACCCCACTTTAACAATCTATCCTTTGTGTACAGTCTGCCATTTGCCACCAGAGTTAGCGTGAATATCCACCTAGGACATCCTACATTGTTGCATACTAATTTTCTCCAACTCGCTTTATTAAATTTTCCTTGCAGTTTATGGTATATGTGCTTGATAGAGCAAGCATCCATCTGCTTGAGATCTTCATAATTATATCCATGATGCTTGGTTCATTTGCACCTCCCATTCATGTTTATTCTTTATGTAGTAGCAGTGCGCCCATTGTATCCATAGCTTGTTCTTTTCTTTGCATAGATTCCAGAATCGCTTGCTTACATTTGCTTTCTTCAATAAACCAATATTCATTACATTAAAACCTCCTGCTAACGTTGGTTGGCATACTTTCTCCCAAGCTAGTAGAGCTTTCTTTGATATGTTGCTATCTTATGTACAATGTTTATTAGTNAGGTTACTCTTGGCCGAATCTAACGGAATTTTCTTATCAGCAGACCAACTCTGTTCAAGAGCAAATTGGCCTTCTTCGTTTTCGGCATTTCTATATTCTGAAATAGTTCGCCAATTCAGTGCTTTATTTGTCGAGTCAATCTTCCTGGAGAAGACTTGAAAAGGATTTCCCGAGCATGGTTGAGATCAATGTGAAAATCAGAATGCCGAATCCACATTCTTTGGAAACGAAAGACCCCAGGCCTGCGAGTATTATAATCTTCTAAGAAGATTACTAGAGGAGAGTGATCAGAGGATACTCTAGGCAAATGGTCAACTCTGGTGGAAGCAAAACGGCTTTTATATAGAAGCGGGCAGTCCCCATTCCCAAATAACATGGGCCTAAGAGATTTTTACCATATAGCAGCTCACCTAGTCTCTTAAATTAAAAATAACCTGCAAATGTATAATATAAGTATAATTTATATATATGTGTGTGTGTGTGTGTGTGTGTGTGTGTGTGTGTGTGCGTAGTCAATGTGTAATCTATCTATACTGACTAGAAAAAATAGACAATGAATTTGGCCAGCTATTTATATAACAATCCCAGAGATTTTTACCATCCTAGACAACATGGGGTCTGGGTGGTTAAGTTAGTTTTAAAGAAATTAACCTAAATAGCCGCTCACCTAATCTCTTAAACTAAAGCTAGTGGGCCGATGTATAATATATATAATGTATGTATAATATATGTATAATTATATATAAGCTATGTATACTGACAAAAAAAAATATTGAATCTAGCCGGTTATGTGTGTAAAATAACTCTTGAATTTATTTTTTAAGTTCGTGTGACTACTTCATAAGTAACTACTTTGTCGCATTTTTAAGACATGTCTATATATTATTTTTTTTAACAAGTGCTGGCTATATTCTAATGAGCAGTCCTAAAAGTGGCTATGTAATATCATTTTCCCTTTTTTTGTTTGTTTATGTAAGCGTTATGTTAGCAAAAAAGCTTATAATAATCTTTTGTGGCAAAACTTTTAAGAATTAAAGGTGTATATTCTCTTTAAAAAATATTTATTTCAAAAAATTAAGATGTTTGACTAAGTTAAAAAAAAACTTTTGAAGTTGTTATTCAATTGGTATAATTTTTTTGGAAAAGAGTAGTTTTCTTAAAAGCACAAATAATAGCTATTTTTATTATTTTTAAGGACAAAATTAACAATCACCAGAAATTTATATTTGTCCAATTATCGCAATGGCAAAAACAAAATCTATTTTTCATGCACCATTGAGAATGCATCTATGACCAAAGTCTTCTAAGTATGCTCCCTCTTTCTATTTTGTGATTTTATATATTTACATTACAATTAAAAATTTAATTAATTTCGGGCCATCAAAATGAAAACTTAGGAAGTATTTTTCTCTTTAATATACTTTATACAACATGAATTAATTTGACCCCTAGCCCTTGTCTCCGCTAGTTCTTATTCTTATTTCCTCCGCCCCAATTTATATAGCGGAGTTCAAATTTCAAGAGTGAAACAAAATTTTTACCGTAATTTTTTATAAGCCTTTCAAATATTTTGAATTATTAATTATTGCGACTTATAGTACTTTTTACGTAGTTTTCAAATATTTAAATGTAGCTCTGCCACTCCTGTTGATAGACTACTAGTACAATTTAGCTGGTACTCACACCCCCCCCCCCCCCCCCCCCTATTCATTAGCCATAGAGGCAAGTGTCTGGTAGGAGGAATTAGGCATGTGAGTTTCCCTTTTTAGGAAAATATTTTTGAATTTTCATTGAAACTTTTATATAAAAAATAATAATCAAACGGCCATCTTAGAGGTCCCAGATGTACTTAGGTGGCTCTTATTATTACACCATAATGAAGGTAGGGGCGGGAGGGATTCATCCGAACTCTTCTCATTTGTAAATTACATTATGTATATAAAATTAATTGAATCTCCTTTACTTACTCATATGTTTACCTTTTTACTTTTTTGATTTTTATTAGTAAAAGTTCTGACTCTACCACTATTATTATCCAAAAAAAAAAAGATAACTTCTATATATTGATCTCATAGATTCTTTTGCACTATTAAATTAACTAAAATGTAAGTATAAGTAACAAACTCACAATAAGAGAGATTACTAATGTATACGGTCAAAATCATATGCCTCCGATTTATAGGCTCGAGGGTTCGTCCTAGGCCCAAGTCCGGGCGAGGTCGACACTACTAGAAATTCGGCAAAAATTGCCCAAGAAAAACCGACCAACTTTGGTTGGTCAAAAAACGGCAGCGACCATTTGGTCGGTTTTTTAAAATATTTTAATTTTTAATTTTTTTTTACGAAACCGACCAACTTTGGTCGGTTTTCTTTGGCGCAAAAATGAGGGAAACTATTTTTCAGTGCCGCAAAATTTATTTTTCAAGAAACCGGCCAACTTTGGTCGGTTTTTGTAATTAAAATAAATAAAAATTAATATTAAAAAAACCGACCAACTTTGGTTGGTAATTTTATTTTTTAATAAAACCGACCAACTTTGGTCGGTTATTTTCGTGCGAAAATACAATTAAAGAGTATAAATAAAAAATAAGACAATCTTAAAAAAAAATGCACCAATGGTCTAGTGGTAGAATAGTATCCTGCCACAGTACACACCCTGGTTTGATTCCCAGATAGTGAATCTTTTGATTACATAATTAAAATACCGACCAACTTTTATCGGAGAATACCGACCAACTTTGGCCGTTTTTTTTGCAATTTTTTTTTTGAATTTAATTGACCGACCAACGTTGGTCGGTAATTTCCAACCAACTTTGATCGGTATATTAAAACGACCATCAAAATATCGTCCAAGCGTATTTGGTCGGTAATTGGCCATAACCGACCAAAGTTGGTCAGTTTTTTGGTCGGTATTTACCGAATTTCTAGTAGTGCGAGTTTGAGACCAGACTCGAGCTCAAAGACAGAGTGCAATGCCCGGAGGTAGGAGTACGAGGAAGACCGAAGCCGAGTATGCTTGACCCCGAAATAATACCGTTATAGATTTGTAACATAATGAGTTAGATTCTTGCCACGTCCCCAAGATCATGGCGCAAATCCCGGAATAGGATTGTACGATTTCGTACTAGGCAGTTAGACAGATGTGTCAAGAATATTCCTTACTGTAAATAGAAATATTCCTTATTTAGAGTTCTCATATTATATAAAAGGGACCCCAATCATTTGTAAGATTATCTGATCATTGAGCAAAGAATATACTCTCTACTTTTTGCCTATTGTTCATGAGAATTGTCCTTTACATTTATTGTTCTTACTTTATTGCTCTTAATCCATTTCGAGGTCACTACTGCTGCGTAACATTGGTTTGATTTACTTGTTTCTTTCATTTTTACTTCATTTTTCTTGATTATTAATTGGTAATGAACTATATCACATATCTTTAAAATCACAAATCAAGTTTAATTGTTACTCGTATTTTCGAGGTAAACAGTTTGGCGTCAACCGTGGGACTAAAGATAATAGTGATTATTTCATTACTGATTCTCATTACACACGTTATTTTTTACACTTTTTCTTGTCAAGAATTTTTAATTCTCATGCTAAAACATGTCTAGCTCACAAAACGCACCTATTCATGATAACGAAGGTCTTGGAGAAAATAACAGTATGGGGTCGGTGTACCACCAATAAACCTTGAGGAAGTGCCAAATATGGAACCTATTGATGTTAGTTCACACAATGCTCTAAACGCAGATTCAGGCACAGACCCTAGAGAGAATGTACGCATGGGGGCTCGATCTAGTGGCCAAGGAGCACAGGGAATGGGAGCGGGGGAATCAGCCCCCAAGTGATATTCGATATGCTGCAAGCTCAGCAAATCGCCATGGCTCAACTTCAAAGTCAGAATATGACTCCGAGTATAGCTGAACCAGAAAATACTCGCCGTGCTGAACCAGCGCAAAAGAGGTCAAAC